ATATTGGGTTGGAGGGAAAGTTCTGTCGTATTTTAAAGAAAATATTTGAATTCATTTACAAAAATATGTGTTTAATATTAATCAATTATATATGCTCCGTTATTTGTTACAACCTGTTGCCATCTTTCTGGTAACCTGTGAATTCCTGTTTGGTAGAAGTTCTCGTCCTTGGAGTTAAAATAGTCAGCAACTGCCTTAGAAACACTTTCAAAAGACTTGAATTTTTTTCCCGTTAGATAATTTTGCAGAGATCTGAACAGGTAATAATCAGATGCTGCAATATCAGGTGAATACGGTGGGTGACTAAGGACTCCCCATCCTAACGCATTCAGTTTTTGTTGTGTCACCATTGCAGTATGCGGTCGAGCATTATCGTGGTGGAACACTATTCCTTTTTTGGACACTAATGCTGGCCTTTTTCATTGATAGCTGCATTCAATTTATCCAGCTGATTGCAGTACAGATCCGCGTTAATGGCTTTTCCCTGTTTCAGCAACTCGTAGTACACTGGATCTTTCCTGTCCCACCACAAACAAAGCAGTATTTTTCGTTGATGGATACTTGGTTTTGGAACTGTTGCTGATGATGTTCCTGGTTTACGGTAAGATTTTTTCTCTTAATATTCTCGTAAAGAATCTACTTTTCATCTCCAGTAACCAGCCTGTCTAAAAACGGCTCCACGTTGTGTCGAATCAGATGTGATGAACACATTCTTACACGATCAGACAAATTCTTATCCGTTAATTCATGTGGAACCCAAACACTTTGCTTTGACCCAAACCCAAGAGATTTAATGTGATCTCCAATAGTTGTATGATGAATGCCAAACTCTTCTGCAATTTCTCGACTTGTTAAATGTGGATTATTTTCCAACATGGATCGCAAAACATCATTATCGATCTTGGATGGTCGTCCAGATCGATCACTTTCTTGGAGGCTCAGATTACCGGAAAGAAATTTGCTAAACCATCTTTGACAAGTACGATCATTTACAATATTTTTTTCAAATACCGCACATAAATTTTTACATGCAACCGTTGCGTTGCTTCCTTTTTGGAATTCATACAAAATGCAGTGTCGTAAATGCACTTTATCTACTGACATGCTTTTCACTTTAAATATCACAAGTAAATGATGAACGGTAAAAAAGGGCTCCTTTTATATTATATAGCATCTAAA